GTTAACACTATCGGGTAGGTTTAGGGTTGGGTTTGGTGTAGGGCATATTTCCACCATGATAGAGCATTAACTTTTAGCGACAGTCCCCGGATATTTGAATTCTGAACCGCCGCAATACGTACCTGAAGCAACGTAATAAAAACACAGAAATACGTACCTATATCAACGTAATAAAAATGTGCCAGGGTTGACGTATTGAACCAGTGTTTTAGCGCCACTCAGTGGACATTTCTCTTTGAAACTGCGGCGAAACGTGCAGTAAGCTACGTAAAAACGGTGTTGCAGAAATGTACGCAGAGGTACGTATTTATATGAGACTGGGTTGCCTACAACAGCTGTATTGTAACAAACTGATTTTTGAAATGGATGCTGTCTGTGAGATTTTGGTCTTAACAGATTACCTTGAGTAGTTTTTCTTTGAAGGAGTGGTCTCCAACTTCATAAAATACAGCAGGTTCTGTTTTTTCACCACACAGCTGCAGGAACAGTCGTTTGGAAAAGAAACGTGGGCCAACACCACCATGAATGGCGCACACTGAAATCATCTGTCCAATTAATGCATATAGCCCGGTGTCCAGAGCTGAAAACAAAATACAGATTTGCATGATATTTTTACATGAAAAGCTAATCATGAATTATAAGTTCCTTTTCTTTCAGCCATGTTTGTCATTATGTCAATACTGACATATTCGGGTCTCACTTGGAAGCCCAATCACCTGAGTTGTAAATAAATGGTCAACGAGAATTGGCAAGGGAGAATTTGTATGACAAGGCACTACCCTAGACATATGGGTATATAAGATGGCGGCCTGCATCCACTCATTCAGATGCTTTGGAGCAGAGTGCTTGAATACAGCGATCAGTCTTCCAGTCACTGTTTGCAATCAAACAAAAATTAATCTCTTGCTGGCTACGACACGGTCTCGTCTCATTAGCATAGAGCTGATTGAGTGGATGCAGGCTGTCATCTAATATACTCAATATGTCTGAAGGAGTGGCTTGCCATGCAAATTCCACTCGCCAATTCTCATTAGTTATTTGTTTACTACTCATATGTAATTGGGCTCCCAAGTTAGAACTCAATACGAAAAAGCTTGTTCAACAAAGCACTGCACAGACCATGTGACCATATGACATCAAAGTACCACAAGAGCGATTAGAAAGCAGAAGGCTCTCTTCTTTTGAATCGCTCTCGCTGTTGTAGCAAATTAGCTCAAAAGGGAAATAATAATTATTCATAACTTATGATTAATTATGAATATTAGGATCAGTTAATGAGATTAACTTGATGTAGCTACATTAACATTAGTCAATTACTCAGTTCATTCTGTGAACACTCAGTATTGATTAATAATTTAAGAAAATGATATTTTTCATGGCTACAGAAAAATAGTTCTTTCTAAGCATTTACAGTGCTTAGAGTGTGTAACAAGACCGATCATTTAAGTGACATTTATCTTCATGCATGTTCATTAATAGAAAAGTTTGTCTATAAATTGAGGCAGAAGAGGCTTTGCGTCTTCCCTAAACACTGGTTCAATTGAGTTGAGCAGAGTTCTGCATTCTTTCAAGTCATAAAACCATGGCAACCAGGGGCTTGGTTCTAATACTTTGGGGATTGTGGCAGACACCTTGGCGCTGGTTTTATAAAGATTATTTGTTAAATATAACAAATATTGGGGTCTGATTTGTCTCAGTCGTTACACTGTACTTTGATGTCATACACTGATCAGTCCGTGCAGTGCCGCTTTAAGTTGAACAAGCCTAAGGTTTACGTTCCCTCCATCAAGGAACAAGAGTTGCAATTATGGCTGCAAGATATATTTTAGCATCGTGCACATTTAGCAATGAGTGCACATTACAGGATATGTGATGTCTAGTATTTCATTCACATATATTTCAGTTCTTGTTCAGTTTAAACATTCAAGCGATTTTAAACCATTTGAGCACAAGACGTTATCGAGAGCTCAATTTGCGGTTTTCTGAGCAGGCACACAGACCTGCACAGACCTACGTAAACACCAAATTCTGTTCCCTTCTATTTGTGCCAGAATGGGGACACACAAATAAATTAGTCAAAATACCAGTCTCAGAAGGTATCCTCATAAACAATTGCTTATTAGGTGAGTCTGGAGCCCTGAATGTTCATCCCAACTGTTCTAGAATTATTACTTCTTTCCAAATAGAGCTATTCAAGTGATCTGGTAAAGTTTTTTCTTCATATCACAAAATTTAATTGCAGGAATACCAAATATCCCAATGTCATTTTTTTCAAATATACAGCCCTACTTACAATAGTAACAGTTGTTTTAAATACTTACCATGTGTATCAAGGGTTAAGTGCCTACGTTGTTCAGGCCCCTCAAAGATTTTAGCATGCTGTATTGCCTTCATTAATAATCTGAAATATTCCCTGGAAGGACCTCCTTCATCTATGGCCCCCTCAGACACACCCTCCTCGTCAACGAAAATAATATCCAATTTTGCACCCGGGTCAAAACGGCGTCGTTTAAATGCTTGAATACTTCCATTTAAAATATTGTCTCTGCAGACATTTATTTGATTGCTGGTGGGACATGTGTTGAAATCCACTTTGCTAACCAGCTTCATTAAAATGGCCTGCAGATTAGCTCTGTAAAGAAAAAGAAAAATCTTTCAGCAATAACAATAAAATGTTGTAGCAATACTACAAAAGCCAATATGTCATAAAACACATACACAGAATTTTCCTCAAATGTTTCAGAGGGAATAGATAAAGGGGACCAAGCTGGAGGTGTGGGAGACCAGCGAGAACCTGAGATGCCAGGAGATCCAGGAGGTGAAGTTCCAGGAGACCACTGTGCATCTAGGTGTGCATGGGTAGTTGAGGAAGCTGACATGTGTGGAGGTGAGAGAGAATGAGAGGGTGAGGGAGCAGATGTGCCTGGAGGTGAGAGAGAATGAGAGGGTGAGGGAGCAGATGTGCGTGGAGGTGAGAGAGAATGAGAGGGTGAGGGAGGAGATGTGCGTGGAGGTGAGAGAGAATGAGAGGGTGAGGGAGCAGATGTGCGTGGAGGTGAGAGAGAATGAGAGGGTGAGGGAGCAGATGTGTGTAGAGGTGAGAGAGAATGACAGGGAGCAGATGTGCGTGGACGCAAAGGAGCAGACGTGCATGGGGGCGAAGGAGCAGACGTGCATTGAGTTGAGGGAGAATGAGAAGATGTGGGTGAAGGAGCAATAGAGTAGTCCATTTGCAGCTCCGTTGATACCTGGTGATGGGTAATGGAAGTTTACATGCTAATTTAGAATACCCAAACAAATGACAGCATCAAAACAATTTAGGAGCCATTTCACAGTATATTTTTGCTGTGCTGCTCATGCTGAATTAAAGTTAGACACTTTTGTTTGAAAAATAAATATTTAACATAAAAAGTGCTCAAAATGCATATAAGCATGTCTAGTGTGTTTTAACAAGAATTAGAAAAGAAAATGAAGAAAAGAAAATGAAGATTCAAACATTTATAGAAGATTTTAATAGTTTTTAATTATTTAGTTAGGGTAAAAGGATAGTGTTTCAATATAAGGGCTGGAATGGAATCATTAAATGTGTCGGAATAATCTTTTAATCATACAAAATTAATGTTGGGAAACTTAAATTAGTAGATGAAGTTTGTGCTCGATTGTACTTTAGTTGAATAAATCCCCAAAATTCTGTGCTGTGTGCACTGCATTGATAGAGGCTAAAGTGAAAGTTGTTTTACGTTGTTTTACCCCACGGTTAGTATTACCGTTTCATATTTTAATCATCACTATAACCGTATTCGATTACCGCGATTTGAACAACTGAGGATAAATAAACAGTCCAGCACAGGGCTCCAGAGTGCGACCAAATGGGTGCATTTCGCGATCATTTTTTCTGCCGGTGCGACTTAATTTTGTGTGCAGTTGCACTGGCGCGACCACCGCATTGTTTAACTCGTAAGCGCTCTCATTTCTGTTGCATATGAGAAACATCAAACGGCAAACGAACGTTTACCTCACGTTACGATATGGAGGCTCTTTTATTTTTATTTTTTATTTGATTCCTCAGTGTTTGCTAAACGTTCTGTAATTTATTAGTCTGTATATAATACAGCATGTGGTGTATGCCATGCCTCGTCTTATTCATTTTTGTTAATAAACGTTTTGTAAGCGAGTTTGTCATTGTATCTTACCGTTTTATTGTTGTTATGCTTTTTAATTAAGAATAACAATGAATCCATCTTTTGTTTTTTTAATAAAAAGTGAAAGGTGTGTAGTATCATGTAAACAAATCAGAAAATTAGCTTTTCTTGTAAAACGTGACAACCAAGATCGCAAATTTCGAAAGTGAAAGCACCCGAAGCCGGCTTATAACATGCCCTGCTGTAAATTTTGACCGGTTGATGAAAAACAAGCTTATGTGGATTCTACATATTTAAACAAGAAGGTATGTATTATTTATGGAGCAGATAAAATGCATATAATCATTTATTAATCAATTATTTTGACTTCATTTAAAAGCTGAAACGTGAGGTTTACCATTTATGAAACTTTTTCAAAGCTTTATTTGAACAACATTTACATTAGATATTTGAACATGCTATTAGATAAACTGTTGTCAGTCATGTTATCATTTAAAATCCGGACATCATTGGCAATGTTATTGTTTTAGTTATGCAAACAAAAACTCATTTTATTTGTTGTTTGTTGATTTTAAATGTAAAACTTGGTGAAATGATTTCAACATGCTATTAAACTGTTGTCAGTCAAGTTGTCATTTAAAATCCGAACATCATTGGTAATGTTATTGTTTTTAGTGATTATGCAAACAAAAAGTCATTTTATTTGTTGTTTGTTGATTTTAAATGTAAAACTTGGTGAAATGATTTGTCAGTACTTTTTGAACACATTTTAACAATACCGTGATAACACTGATAACCGTGATCATTTTGGTCACTATAATCGTGATAAGAAATTTTCATACCGTTACATCCCTAGAGTTAATAAATGGCATTTTCATTTTTGGGTGAACAAAGACAACATAACATCATTAACATTTAGAACATTGATTTTTGAAATTTGTGAATTTACTTAAATCGGCTGAAGATTCAATCCTACAATATTAAGATAGAACATATGCAATTCATATGTTCATATTTAATCCCCCAACTCCTACAGCTGACCAATCACAGCACATTCCGCATTTCGGAAGGAGTGCCTTCCTCGAAACAGGAGCTAAACAGGGCATTTTGAGACAGATGGGAAAGAAGAACTGTAAAATGTGAAAAATGTATTTTTTTCTATCATGCATGACAACCTATTCTAGTACACTGCAAAATCAAGACAGGTAGCAGCTGCCTTTATTCAATCAGTGAAAGAGACACTGCAAATAACATGCAAATTACAAATCAAACACTGTACCTCTTCCTCTGCGGGAGTCCACTGAACATAGAGGGTTGAAAAACCCATTATGTCATGGTCCTTCATTGAACCTGACAGGGTACTGTAAATCAGAATGTCTGACGTGGCTTCTCTAAGGCAAAAATCCTCAGTAGATGAATCATCTTGTCCAACAAAATCAAACAATGTCTGGGGGAAAATAAATTGAAAAAGTAGAAGAAAAAAAAAAAAATTCAAAATCAAAACCAAAATATAGAGTTCATTTTTTATGGAATACTGTTGTTTATTAAAATGCCAATTTAAATATGTATATTCAATCAAAGAACATTAATATTCCCAACCCTTGCTGTGTGCTGAGGATTGAACTGTATCAAGCACGTTGCAAAAGTAGAAGAAAAAAAAAAAATTCAAAATCAAAACCAAAATATAGAGTTCATTTTTTATGGAATACTGTTGTTTATTAAAATGCCAATTTAAATATGTATATTCAATCAAAGAACATTAATATTCCCAACCCTTGCTGTGTGCTGAGGATTGAACTGTATCAAGCACGTTGCGAGAAGGGTGGGGAGATCAGCTCTAATAATAAAAACAATAGTCTTTCAATTTCTCTAAAAATGTATTTGAATCAATAGTTTTATTTAATTTCAATGTCAGATTGGTGAATTTCACCTAAAGGTAACACGTTTGCAGGGATGTTTAAAAGGTTAGTTCACCCAAAAATGAAAATTCTGTCATTAATTACTCACCCTCATGTGGATCCAAACCCCTAAGACCTCGGTTTATCTTCGGAACTGTAATTCTAAACAACGACACCCTTTCCTCAGATTTCACAGTTTCACAACAAAAAAGAAAGAATTGAGGAAAGCATGGGTGAGACTGATACAGCGGGATGAAGGTTCTTCTAAAATTATATGCAGTAGTAAGTTTGTGTGTAATATGCCTATGCATTTCAAAACAGAGGATGTTTACATCGATCTTCTACCTGCTGAAATGTTCCTATAATTATATTTGTGCAAATGTGCATTTTAAATAAATATTTCCCAACTAATCTGTCGCAGTCCATTGCTTGTCTTTTCATTAACAGTTTTTCTCTTACTGATCCTTATTTCATACCCGTTGAGTTTACATTGTAAAAATGTAGTAAACGCGAAAACGGACTCGTCGGTTTCTGTACACAAACAACAAGGGCACTTGTCAGAATACAAAACGTATTTAGGGATCAGAACGTGCTATATGTGGAGAATAACGAATAATATACGAATAACTAACACACAGCAGTGAGTTAATTTTTATTTATTTTTTTAAATCACTCTGCAAATCACTGTTTGTGCAGGCAGTGCGGCACTTCTGTTTTGCTGTTCACAGTATCTGGAGTGACTGTAGTGAAAGGGCAGCTCGCATAAACAGCCGGTACTCTCACCCGTCCTTTTCGGAGAAACTGAAAGTGAAACCGTTGATTCACTTGCTCTCTCGCACACAGGGTCTCTCTCGTGTGCATAGTTTTATATATTTAGATATAAATAACAGTGTAGTGCAACTTTATTACATTGCTCAATGTCACGAGACCGCAACAGCATTTCTCCGCCTCCTCTCCCCAGCTCCCTTCGGAGGTATCGAAATTTGGTACTGAATGATAAGACAATTTTCGATACTCAATAGTATCGAGGCAATTCATTCGGTACCTAAAAAGTATCAAATTCGATACCAAGCCCTACAAACCAGAAGAAATTGTTTAATAAAGGCTGAACTGTCTGTACTACCTTTCTGGGCTTTGAAAGTTGCAATTACGTTGCTGCCTATAGATGGTTCAGAAAGCTTTCGGATTTCATCAAAAATATCTTAATTTGTATTCTGAAGATGAACGAAGGTCTTACGGGTTTGGAACGACATGAGGGTGAGTAATAAATGACAGAATTTTAAATTTTGGGTGAACTAACCCTTGAAGTACCATAAACAAAACATCATAGTATGACATTACCTGAACTGATTCTGACATCCTAAATTTTCTGCTTTTCATCTGTCCATTCGGAAATTTAAACCTTAGAGGGACACCATCTGAAGGCTCTGGGACAGAAGCCATCCTCTGTCGTCGTTCATGAATTGCCTTTAACAAATCAATTATTATATTTGACAGCTTTAAGACAATTAAATATAAAAATTAAATTTAAGACTGAATTACAAAGTTTAAGGAAGCAGTTACCTTTAGGCGTCTTTCCTCCTGAGCCTGAAGTTGTTGGCGTCTCATCTCCTAATGTAAGAAATTTAGTTGATCATGTGTTTTTAAATGAATTCCTAATTAAAAGGGTTAGTTCACCTAAAAATGAAAGTTATGTCATTATTACTCAAATTAAGATATTTTTGATGAAATCCGAGAGCTTTCTCATCCATCCATACAGTTTGGTAACTGCAACTTTCAAGTCCCAGAAAGGCAGTAAAGACATTGTTCAAATGGTCCATGTGACTGCAGTGGTTCAACCATAATCTTATGCAGCGACGAGAATACTTTATGAAGAAGAAAAACAAGAAAAAGAAGAAGAAAAAAAACTACTTTATTCAACAATCTCTTCTACTCCATTTCATCTTGCTACGCTATCCACAGAGTAAACAGCGCATCGCTTCTGAGTTTTGCGCCAGAACGCTGTTCACATGAGCACCACGTAAGGCTGATGCAGGATCCAGCCAATAGTGAGCCAGCCAGCATTCTGACATAAAACTCTGAAGACCTGTGCTGTCTACACTACCACTGCAGTCACATGGACTATTTTAACGATATATGTACCACTACATATATCAAATGTACTACTAAATATGTACAT